ATATATGGCACCAAAAATGACATAGGTGTTGATATATATGTTGTGATAGGTGTTGAAGAATACCAACATGGCACCAAAAACAACACATATCTTGGTACAGAGCTTGGTAAAAGGCTACCCTTCCTATGTGCAATTGGTCTTTGTACGTAACCCCAAGATTTTGGTAGCACGAAGCACGAAGGACACGTATTGAATATTACAGAGGTTGACAGGTACCCGTCCAAAGTCAAAGTACCATCGTCAGAAAGTGACCAGCCAAGGAGATTGAGGTAGCGGGCGAGAGCCCCGGCTGGGCCAACAGCAGTAGCGCTATGCGAGTGGACGGAGGACCAAAAATCTTGGGCCAGGTTTGGATTGGAATGAAACAGGCGCCGCAAGAATGTAACAGCTGTAGTGACGACGTAGAGTAAGGGATCTTGGAGGTGAGGCGAAATGACCTGCATGGCCAACCAACTAGAAATGTGATTCTCGGGACCGATCAATGCGGATGTTGCCTCCCTACGTAAAGTTTTAAAATGGCGTTCGCCCACCACTTGTGTTTCTGCTCCAAAGTTCCAAAGAAAGCGTGAGGCCAAATCGCCGTCTGAATTAATTTTGCTTTCTGATGTAAGTCTATTTTAAGGAAACGAAGACGGCGGCATCTTTGTGCAGCACTGGCCATTTTGTCTTTTCAGTGTCCCAGAGTGATGTGTGCTGTGTAGTGGCACATACATCCAAGATCCTTTGTAGAAATCAAAATGGCTACATTATTATTTTCTGAAAATATGTCCTCTAGAAAGTCTTTCCAGTCTTGTCTTGCTTTTGGTGTGGTACCCCAGGCCCATCATTTAGAGTAGTCAAATTGCATGCGGAGACTGGCTGCTAAATCTTGTATCCGATGGAAAGCTGGAATATTGTCTCGTTGGTTGGTGGTCAAAAATGACCAGTTATCTGCATAAGCTTAAGGGGACACAGTGGGAGTGGAGAGTGGCCAGTAAAAGGCAGAAGACACCACCAACATCGCACAGACGGAGAGGCTATCACCTTCAGGGACTCCTGTAGCCATAGTCATCGCAGCTCCAATGCTCTGACGGCTGTGACGAACTTGGAGGTGACGGGTAAGGCGTTGCAAGTTGAGAAACCAAAATCGATGGATTCACTGAGGGCCCCGTGGTGCTGTAATAAATGGTAGATAACTCTACGAGGGAGTAAGTCGAAGGCTTTTATAAGGTCCAGAGTGAAACCTCTCCTTGCACGATCTTGTTTCTTTGCTTTTTCAATCTGTTTCTTTGCTTTTTCAATCTGGAATTGTTGGAGAAAGGTAATATCTTCGACCCCTCGAAAAGGAAGGCCGCCAGAGATTGCCGAGGGCCATGTCAATGACCAATGGTGGAGAAGCTGGTCGGCTATTAACTTGGAGGTCAAGCGACTAATATAGCCCAAAATGGTAATTCGGCGTCCATCGCTAATTGACGTAGGGGGATTTCGTTTTGCCAAGAGAATTACACGTGCAATCATTTGGTGTGTTGACAGACCCACTGGCCAAATGGCTGCAAAAATCTTTGTAAGGGCACGAACTGCCTCGAAGGGAAGAGCCTGTAATTCTTCTGCACCCCATCCGTCAATGCCAACTGCTTTAAATGGCTTCAAGCGTGATTTTGCTCCTCTGTAATTTGGAGCCGGGATGTTAGCCCATGGGAAGAAGTGCTTTAGGAGATTTGAGCATATTGCTTTGGCTAGGTCTGCTCAAGAGATGTCAAAATTGAGACACTTCCTCAAAGGTGTAGGCAAAATCTCAAAAGTTGCTCGAGTACCTACTTGGCGAAAGCATATACCCATTCGCAGAATAGGAGAAACACTGTTCTTCAAGTGCCCTTGCGACCTAGACTTCGCTGGTGTTCCTGACCAAGTGCCTGCCTTCGTGGGAGTAGCCTGGGAAGACAAACTGGTCAAGATCCTTCAGGGTCCCTATCTCACAAGTGTTGTAGCAGCTCTCGACGTGGGCAGTTGTGCAGACAGAAGTTCCTTTGAAGATTGCACATCTATGAACAACAATGGAGTGCGAGAATACCGGCCTGTTGAATCTACTGAGGTGAGGATAGGGCTAGTGTCCCCAAGATTCTTGGCTAGGCCGGTTCTACAAGAAGTTGGTAAAGTCGCTTCCGACAGGAACTTAGTGTCTGCTGACGACATTGCTGAAGCGTACAATAGAGCCTCCATCGCCGGAAAGCTAGTGTGGTATGTGACGCAAAACTTGGTTCCCGAACCAGGGAAGACACTCTTCAAGGAACTTCCAAATGCAATATCTGCTCTTGGTGCAGAAGATGCAAAAGAGTTGGTGTCAGCTCCAGAATTGGAAGACAATTTCGGGTCTGAACTCCTTGCTTTTTGTCTTTGTGAAGGAGAGTTACGTGGTTTTGTGCACTCATACAACCTTGCTCGGTTGTATTCAGCAGTCCCATGTCCAGCTTCCACTCACGACAATGCAAAGGAAAGTTTAGAAATGATACTTGCCAAGGGCGAAAAAATTGTGTCAAAAGATGAACAAGAAAGAGTCACGAGGAACTATTTGTTGGCTGCTGTTGCGTCGCAGAAGGAATTGAAAGCGGCGTATGAGAAGACAAACCAGCCCTTACGTGTGCCAAGTGAATATGATTTTGAAAGCAGCCAGTGGGTTCCTAGGGAACATTGGGCAGCCAAACTCCCTTTGTGGACACTGTTGACTGATGCTGAAAAACAGGCCGCTCATGAGTGTGACTTTACCGTGAACGAGGTGCCTTCAGATGCAGCAGAAGTGTATTGGGCTTCGCAGTCCAAAGGTGCCATGTTCAACCCGGACTCAGGTGAGGTTGGCCTAGAGACGGTTGAATCATTGAAATCGGCTCCATTGATGTGGGGTATGACGGGAAAACAAATCCGGCACAACGAGACTTCCAAACGATTTGCCAAGCTGGTCAGCCGGAAAAAGACGGAAAGTGGAAAGTGGAACAAGAAGAAGACCAGGCACTTTTGGGTTGCGTCATTCCCTGCAAAATGCTGCCTCAGAACTTATAACAACAATGCCAGGACTGTTGTATGCCTCCTTCCACATTTTGCTCCAGGAGCTTCCGGGAAACAACGTCTACAGTCCAAGAAGGCAGTTTGCTCTTGGTTATGTGACGGAAGTTGAGGTTTGTAGAGTCTTCTGACAGAGTGGCTTGGTCTGAAAGCCAGATGCACGAAGCAACGGGTGTCGTCCATAGAATGATAGAAGGAAGTGTTGGCTTGGCAGTGGGATCATGGGAGAAGCTATTTGACGGGTTGGAAGTGGGAGCATCATCGTCACACACATTGACTTTCGGCACAAAGAGGCAAGCTTCCGATATGACCCACGAATGGCTTCCAGTCTGCAAAGCAGTGACCTTCCAGGGATTGCTTAACCTACCAGGGAGGTTCGCTACATCCTGCAGTTGGATCCTACGGAGGAAACCCACCAGGGCAGAAACAGCCACAAGTTCGCAAACGGGTTCGGAAGCGATTGATTCATTCTTCCACAGAGTTAGGAACTTGAAGCCAGCTTCTTGCTACTCGTAGCGATGCATTTGTTACTAGTAGCGATGCACTTTGCTACTAGTAGCTTCAGTAGTGAGTCTTTTTCACGTGAGAACCACATGATTCCAACACAAACCACGTGGTATGGAGCTAGCCTTGGAGCGGGTGCTTTCCTGTCCAAAAACCTGGGTGACTCCCCAAAAAGGCGTAGGTCGGATCGTAGGTCGGCCCGCGCATCCAGTGAACCTCCCGAGGCGCCGTCTGACGAATGCTCCCAAGAAGCTGGATGAGTGATGAGACCCAGAGCCAACGGAAGGGACAAGAGCTGGCACGGCTGGGTGGGTGTTTTGGGGAGTCGATGCAGGTGAAGAAAGAACTTCTGAAGGGAAAAAAAGGCTCACCGTTTCGAGGACGGATGGAGCCATTTCCAGCAAATTTGTGGTTGCACACTTCGTGGTTTGTGACCTTTCCAGTGAGGGAGCTGAAGAACAAGACTGAAGCATCATCCACATGAATCACATTGACCCCTTTTCAACCACTCCAATGGGTGGTCAATATGCCAGTCCCATGGGTCGTGTTTGGGATTTATTCAGTTGATAAAGCTCTCCAATCACCCACACCTGAGGGCCAAGGAAATCACGCCACTTGCGTTCTAATCATCGGGGTCGTTCTAATCACCGGGGTCTTGGAGCAAGATCTTTGATGCTTCGGAAAATCTTTGGTCTTCGCGGGCCGGTAATCCCTTGGGTTCCAAAGATATACCTGGAGTCGACCCGGAACCCGTACCTCGGGTTCAATGGGGCCCCAGTCTATACCTGTTTTTATGAGGTCATGTCCCATTTTCTAAGGTACTGGGTCAGTCGGGGCCAGGTATATGTTAAGTGATGTACCATCCTTGAGACGTCCAAGGTCTTTCCGTCCCCCATTGGAACGGTTCGCCGTGGGAACCGGGAACCCGGGTGACGAGCTGTGAGGAAGAGCCGTCGGAGTCCGACGTCCATCTGAAGCCCAGTAGGTAAGTAATGGGATAGACCGTGATAGACCCTAGGGTAGTACCCAAGGTATCATACTCGATGTTTCCAGAGTTTTCCTCGGACATTTCTTGCTCAAATGTTTGCCCTTCAGAGTCGGTCAAAGATGACTCTTTTTTGAGAAAGCTTTTGTCTTTTTGAGTCGGCTAACCTATCATCTTAGGTTTTGGGGAATACGTAGGATGGAATGGGACGGATTGGGATATACCTAGTAGCCAGGCGAATCATCTCTGTCGAACATGCTGTTCTACAGGAATGCCAAGCAACCCAATGTCGATCTTGGACAGCTGGATCAGATGAGAAGCTCCTATAAAGACAGGTAAACACCTGTAGAAACCATCTCAGCCACCCTGACCACACTAGTCCAGTACAAAGGCCTTCTCTAACTAGGTCCAGGGCTGCAACGGGCATCTCACTGAGCGTGAAGGGACCAGACTTTCTATTAAACTCCAAACACTGAAAGTATGGAAGCCTGCACATGGATTCCACCCGCGTGAGTACCCTGCTGTGCACGGCCGTTCATGCGGACGGCCTTGCTTCTGGTGGAAGGGAGTGCGGAGAGCTTGGCGTCGTGCCCATCAAGCAGCTGAGCTTGACAAAGCGGCGATGGAAAAATGCAGAAGCTACCAATAACAACCCGGCGGATCTAAAACCGCGCGTGCGTTTTAGCACGGCAACGTCAACATGCCCCCCCCCACCCCAACCCCCCCCCACCCCGTGCAACGTCACCAGCATAGCACAACGTAGCATCCAACCCAGTGTGCAACGCTAACCTATATGTGTGAAACGCAACGTCAAGATGCCACATAGACGCATACATATATATGGGAAAGTGCACAAAACATCCAAGAAGCAAAAAACGCAAAAACGCACGCGCGGTTTTAGAGCCGTTAGCAATAACAAGAAGCTACGTTCGGGGCTCCTGGCCTTACTACGAACGGAGCAAGGACGGTACGTTCGGGGCTCCTGGCATCGCTACGAACGGAGCATTCTTACTAATTACTATAGTAACAAAGGCAAAAAAATCGAAAGCTCGATTGAAACCGAGAGTCTTCCCACCAAAACGTCCAACCACACGAAACATCAACACCCCAAATCCGAAATTCGGGCGGCCTTGTGTAGGGCGGCCGGGCGTGGAAGGATGAAGGTGTTCACCGATAACTGCAGCATTCGTCGGGAAGGGAAGGGTTGTTCGCCCCAAAAGCTGAGGTCGGGGGTCACTTTGCCGCCGGTTGAAAGAAAAGGCCCAAATGCCGGGCCAAAGTAGGACAGTAGGAAGTAACATATTCATACATCCGTAGAGTGCGTATACTAGGAACAAGAAGCTACTAGTAACAAAGGGCATCGCTACTAGTAGAGTGCGTATACATCATATTTATAGCTTTATATAGTGGCTCGTAGGACTCGTAGTGGCTGGTCAGTCTATGGGCAAAGATTGCAGGTCTCCAAATCGCCAGCCATTGCGAAATGGCTGCACAGGCCAAGTAGTAGCGTCCTTGCTCCTAGTAGCGATGCCCTTTGTTCCTAGTAGCTTTTTGTTCCTATCTATTCCCTCCTCGGAACTCTTGCCTTAATCCCAAATGATGGTTTATACTGGGCCTTGCGAAGATTTTGATTGTCTATAGAAGGATCTGTCCAATTCACCTGGACCTAGATTCGGCACACATGTTCTGAGTCTGTCTGGTATGTCGGTCAAAATCGAAAAAGACAAATGCTTTACCAGAGCCTGGTGTGATATAGTTGGCTGCTTTGCTTGCGCAAGCGGCGCAGGAATGGTGTGTGCAAGGTAGCTCTGCACGGCCCTGCCACCCTGTCGTTTGCTCCTGAAGCTTCACCCTAGTATTCCACCATGAATTCAATAGGCTTTACAGAACAACATAGAACCATGAATGTGAAACAGAAGGATTTCCACTACACCAGGATTTCGTTATCAAAGATAAACACTCGTCTTGGACTCGTCTTCCTGCATGCATCATCCGGATCCGATCGGTTTCCCCTTGGAGGATCCAGAAACATACCTGGACCTTCTTTCGGGGTGTCCTGGCTGGAGATCCCTTAGTGGTGGGCTGGGGCTTCCAGACAGGGCACCCCGTCCTGGTAGGTCCTGGTAGGTTCTGTAAGTGACCCAGTGACCCCTTGAGTCTTCTGTAGCAGGGTGGTTGGTGATCCAGAAGTTACTCAAGTTCTAGCTGTATACCATCTATCAAAATACATATAATGGTACAGATTTATGATGATTTTTGTGTATCATTGGAAGCTATACAGGATTATATTATATTTCAATGCGAAGACTGCCTGTCATTCTACTGCCAGGTCTCTCGCCACGTGACGTTTGGAAGACCTGCTGCAACCCCTGGCGCTACGATGGCTTTGGTAGCGATCAGTGCTTCACTGCAGTGCAGGGATGGCAGGTGCCTTGGGTGCCGACCACGCAGCCGCACAGGGCGGCGGTCGCTCCCCCCGATTGGTTCCCACCTGGGCTTTCGCACCGGGGGAAACGCCCTCCCATCTGGCAGCTGTCGACACGCATGTCGACACGCCTGCGCCGGTTTCGACTTCCCCCCTAGGCCAGGCGCTGCTGTTCGGCGCTGGAGCCTGAGAACTTCACGTCCAGAGCATGGAGGCGAGTGGAGTGGGGTGGAGGGTGTCGGTGTCGTTCTCGCTACTTGGGCAAGTTCAGAACCGAGCCAAGCTCAGAGCTTGGCGCTGCGGGGATAGGTTTCACCCCTAGGAGATGGGGGGACTCTTATGACACGAGGGGTATGGGTGACTTAGCCGTTGGACGTCCATTGCAACACCTGGTCCTCCACCCTTTGGAGTCAATGAACCCTCTGCTTCGAGTCGCTGAAGGTCCTTGTTTCGCACTGGGCTCGGCCCCTGGAACGCCGCTGGAGCTGCAGAAGTCTTCGGCTCGTCGCTGAACTCGACGGGCTCTATCCTCGTGGTGTATCACAAGAGTGGCGCCACCCTATCCTATGCGTGCCTGGGAACTGGTCGAGAAGAACCGAGCGAGCTGAGCGAGCGCGCGGTTTGTGCGTTGACATGCGTCACCTGGGTCGAGACAGAGAGGGCGCTCTACCAGACCTGAAACACTCGAACCTGGCGATCCGATACAGGCAACAGACAATGTCATGCCCAGAAGCAAGAATAAACCAGAATTCGCTACGGGGAAGGTTTCGTAAGATGGCGTGCCCAACCTGAATCGCAGGCGACCTCTAATGATGTTTGTGTCCAAATGTATCCAAATGTATATTTGTGTAGCGGTGCCTTTGGGATTGGCTATTAAAGCCAGCCTTGAATAGCTTTGATTGACGAGCTTAACATCTTTTGACTATGGCGGTTGCATCGGGAGGATATCCCAACAGAGGATGCACTTATGTATTAGTTACCCGATGTATGGCCTCAATGCATGCAATTAACGTTCCGGATTTCATACAGGATGGTTTGGTTATGCTGTTCTAGTCAAAGAGCAGTTTTGGGTTTAAGGTGGTGTGTGCGTGTGACTTGGCAACTTCCTCATGCAAGCCATTGCAAGCCAGCGAGGTCGCCAGAATCATGGGTGCATATCCCCAAGTTCCTTTGCATTGTGAGATTCATTTGGGTCTTCTGGCAAACTTGTGCGGCACACTCGTTGATTCTTTTTCGCTTGGCTTCATGGTCAGACATATTGGTGCCAAGACATCTGCAGCATGGTCAGACATACAGATGAGGCAAAGTGGGGCTGTAAGCGCACAAAAAAGAAAGCCAAGTGGACGCGGGGCGTTCGCTAGCGTTTCTGGTCAGACCAGAGAAATTTCTATCCGGGACTCCCAAGATGGTTTTGCTGGGTTTACCCAGTCCAAGGTGGTACCAAAATTGCAGATCCTGAAAGCGGAAGTCGCTGGGACTGGGGGTTTTCCATCACATTCTTCCGTTTAGGACGTTCGCCGCCTCTCTTCGGATCCTCAAAGCGACCTACAACCCCCCCCTCCGCTGCAACTGGGCTTCTCAGGTTGCAGAGGCTCCCTGAGCTCTTGCGGCTGCTCCTGGGCCCGGAGACCCTTCGCTGGGGCGCGCGGTGGCAGCGGCTCTTCTACACGCCCAGCAGCCCTGCATATCAACGGAGCCTGCTGGTGAATCAGAACGCCCATGGGCGGTCCATGATCTATGCTGCAACCTGGAGGAAGAACATGTCGCTATCTCGCTTGGTGGTCTCGACGTCCCGCTGGACCGAGAAGTCCATGCTAGTCCCTTCTGAAGGCCTTCCGAGCGACTGAAGGCCTTCCCATCGTCTTTTTGACTCTAAGAGATGATTGACTTGGTGTCTCTTCTACCATGCGCAAGAATATGTAAAGGCTCTGGAGAGGCGTTGGAGCCGCCGGTCTCCAAAACGACCCTGACCGATGCGAACCTGACCGCTCCGGTTGAGGAGCATCGCCAAATCAAGGCCCAGCCAGTCTACCTGGTTCATGGATCAAGTTCGCAGCTGCTGGACATGTTTGAGGCCTACAAAAACAGAGCCCTCAGGTGGCGAGGAACCTTCCAAGAATTCATGTAGATTGGCCACACATGACAGGGGGTGTGTAGGGTGTGTACAGCTGAACAGCTAAGCACCGTCCGTGGTGAATTGGAAGGTACTCTCTCCCTGGAACTACTGTGGTGACTCGTGGTTTCGGCGCCCCGATTCCGCACGCGCCGTGCGAGCAAAGGTGGCTCCTTCAGAGACAGCGGCTCCAGAGGTGACGAAGCATGTGCTGAAAGGTCATAATCATCGGCTGGTGCATATGGCGACTCGTGCTGGTCCTTCATGCCAAGCTTTGCATACACATCATCAGAATTGTTATATGGCTACGGCCAAAAACATAAGGCTTGGATCACACACCCAAACCCACACACGATCCATACCTCGATCCATGGGGTATGGATCAAAAGGTGGGTGTGTGATCCAAGCCCTTGGATCACCACCACCACTACTACAACCACCTCTGCTGCCACCACTGCTACTGCCACTGCACTTGCCACCTGCTGCTACTACTGCAACAGCTTTACTGTTGCTGCTACTGCTACTCACTACTATCAGCAGTATTACCACCACCACAGATTTAGCGGAAGCCACTAGACTCAACTTCAAATTGACTTCCCATTCCAGCCAAAATTAATTACCGGAAGCCACTAAGTGTGGTCACAGCCGGGACTCGAACCACCACTACTACAAACCACTACTACAACCACCTCTGCTGCCACCACTTCTTCTGCTGCTTTGCCTGCAACAGCTTTACTGCTGCTGCTACTGCTACTCACCACTATCACCAGTATTACCACCAGACTCAACTTCGAATTGACTTCCCATTCCAGCCAAAAATTAATTACCGGAAGCCACTAGGCGTGTTCACAGCCGGGACGCGAACCCTCACCCTGTGGAAGTGAAGAATTGGAAAGCGACGTCTTTACTATTAGGCTATGCAACCCTTTGAGGGGAGGAGTCAACCCAACTAACCCATATTAAATAAGGTGCGAGAACACAATATGAAGGCCAAAGAGAATTAGCGGCAGCCACTAAATCAGTTTTCGGAGCGCGCCTCCAATCTAGAGCTGAAGCCACCACCTGTTAAATGTCTTGAAAGCCCACTGAGTCACCAATATGCGCGGCCAGCTGATTGCCCAATATGTGGACAGTGGAGCCCAAATTCACAGCGGCCAGAACTTCAAAACAGGCTTGCCGCAAACAGGATGGCTTTGATCTGGGAAGCCACCACCTTCACAGTGAATTGGTGAGAAAGTGGTGGGGTGAAGTGCCACCATGCAGATGTGTTCATGTTGGGGGCTTGGATCAAGTGACTTGTCGGTTTGATCCATAGGGCTTGGATCAGCGCTCTGATCCATAGGGTTTGGATCACTCTCACTGCAGCGCGGAACGATCCATACCAGGGTTTCTGGCCACACCCATATGTTATTGCACTGTATGATGTTCTATGACTTTCTTATATATACAAATATATATGCGTGTAATATGTATGTGGGTCTCCCCCTACAGAGGTAGGAGTCTGTCCTCTCTCGGTGAACCGTCCAATTGGCTTGAGAAAGGATTCTTAGTGTATGCAAAAGATACCTCCCAGGCTAAGTATGTCCGAGATTCGTGGATATATATATATATACTATATATAGATATATTGTTTATATATATGGTTTGTATATATATATATATGTGTGTGTGTTTTATATATATATGATGCGACGTGGCTTTTGGAAAAAAAGTAACATTGGCTAGAACGTGGTGTTCATACATGTTACATGTTCGATAACAATGCATCTGATATGGCACAATGATCGAACGAGGCTTGAGGCTTCCCTCAGAAGAAATTATTGTAGTACTACCCTGCATAACTTCACTTCGTGATCCACTTGAAACGGGCTGGAGAGAAGATAGGTGTTTACTAAGCGAAACAGCACCCATTCTACAAATGTTTTTCCCCAGATAGCGTGTTCTTACTTCAAGTATAGGAAGAGCTGCGTGTGTGCGCTTTCAGGCCTGGCTGCTCCGCTGCAGAGTGCCCGCGTGCGTGCTTGGGAGCTTGAGTGCTTGGGTGCTGGTGCCGCTGTAGGGTGCCGCTGTACGCATGTCTTTGGGTCCATGTGATGTGTTCAGGAGCGTCGTGGGTTCGTCGTGTGTTCAGGAGCGCCGTGACAGGGACGAAAGAACGCCATGATTCCAATGCGGGGTCTATGCTGGCGTAATTCTTTCCCCAAAGGACAGTCGAAGGAGGTGTTCTTGTTTACAGCCCTATTTGAATTTGTGAGTGAGGCCATTTGTATCCAAACCATTTGGAGATTGGATCTGAAGTTATAGGTGTATGTCCAAATGCTTGATCACGTTTATAAGAAGTTTTAAGACATTTGGGAGCCAAGAACAGCAAGGGCTTCAATTGCACACTAATGTATCAATATCCCCAACTCTCAACGTATCCAGACAACGCAGTCCAACCATCAAAGTATGTTTTGTATGCACGAGAACGGTTTTACAAGGACATCCAACGGTTTATGTTCACTTGTTGGTTATGTGTTGTTTGGGATTGAAGGGTTCCTGGAATTTCGGCTTCGGAAGGGATGATAAGTCCACAGTCAATGTCAGAAACGCAGCACAACAAAGGGACAACAAAAGGACATCAGAGGCAACAAATTCAAAAGACAAAATGTTGAGCACATGCAGTGATTGCAAGCCTGGGGTGCAAAATCAATGCAAAGGCCCAGAGTCATATTTGTTGCAAATCAGGAGCGCCCAGTCCAGCTTTCCCGTTTTGGGCCATTCGGATGTTTGTGTAGGAAACCATCTTTGGGCACGGAATGAGGACGGTACGGTGGCTAGTGAGGGAGGGTGTTTCTTCCTCACCGTACTCATGATACAGAAGGATTTCATCAGAAAAGATGACTTAGTCTTGACATGTGTTGACTGTTAATGATCAAAAATATATGGAGGAGTGATCAATCAACAGTCTACACGATTTACACAGCAACAATAATCAAGTGGTGCCTTGAGAAATCCGCACGCAAAAATCAGGTGAGGAAACCCAGTGATTGGATTATCTCTGCATACCTTTTCCACTTGAACGAGTGGGAGGCCCGGTCGAGACGAAGTGAGGAGTCCGTGAGATGGGACGGGAATGGTGACGACCCAGACCATCCATGGGACGGGAATCGTGACTGGAAAAGATGTGAAAAGTTATAGACAGCATGTAGACTATAACCATGTTGACCCATGTTGACAACACTCTTCCATGTAGCATTTTCATGGAATAGTTATAGTACCCCATTTTCAATGACTCAGATCGCTCTTCCAGTCCTCATGGATGGACGATCGGAGACCGACCCCCTTCACAGACGATCCGAATAGAATCGACGGCATCGACCGCATCGCGTCCAGTTCGTTCGACCACTTAAGAGGCGACCAAATCCCTATGGTTTTGAAGGCCAAAGGCCTGTTTGGAGCGTCTGGGCAAGACCACTTAAGATCTGCTCTCGGAAAGATCAAGAAAATCTCAGTTCAAATTGTGACGGTGGGTGAAAGACGATGACTCTTTCAGATCAAAGGCCCGTCGCTTGTTTGGTTCATCCTCCAGTGGGCCACAGCTCGGGACATACCCATTTCTGCAGCAGAATGAATTGCTCACCTTTCGCGCCGTTGTCCTCTGGTATGTTCAATCCTGTGAAGTCCGTCATGTCTCCTTTTATTGAAAGAAAGGTCATCTGAGCTCTCTGAAGGCAGATCCACCGCGACGCCGTTTTCACGTCCATCAACTCCGGGTCGACCCACGTCCATGTCCCGAACGTCCGTTCACGGGAGTTGTCCGGGTGGAAACGGTCGAAACGACGTTGGAGGCGTCCATCTCGTCCCCTGGCTTGACCATGACTGTTTGGACCCGCCCCGAGGCGTGGTTCGACTTGCACGATCCGCCGAACTGCAACAACTGCCATCATGGGGCTTGGAGGAGCCTAGGTTGAAGCGAATCGCGATTCGGTTGGAGAGCATTGCCCGAGCTTACAGAAAATCCACCGTGGGGGCTTTGGACGCTTTTAGAGTGAGGGTAGATCACTTGGACGTCAGTTCTTTGAGGGTTGGAGGCCATTGAAGCTTACTCTCCTGTACAGGGGGGTCGAGCAGGCTATCAAAAAGCGGCACAGACCTTCCGGCGGCTTTCCTTGCTCTTTGCGATCTGACACGGAGGCACAACTTGGTTGGTCCCTGGAACCAGTTACAGCGAGATTTTCACGAAAGCAAGAAACATCAAGAAACGTGGCGAGAGGAACCATTCTCTGAAGTGCCCCACCAAACCATGGTGTGTCAATTTGATTTTGTTCATGTTCGGTGGTCAACCAGGGTGCCCGGGTTTTGACCCACAGCCATATACTGAAAACTGAACAAAGCCAACAGAAATCCGGTCGCAAATGACAAATGAGTGTGCTTTTTCGATGTTTGCCAAAGATTGGTTGACAGTCTTTGCAATGAAGTTGCCTTTACAATGATTGGTGCAGGAGTCCAGGATTCCATTCCAAGAAGATCCACGCGAAGACCCGCTTTCCGTTGGCTTTGCACACATGAAAATCAGCCCGTTTCGTGGTTGGCACCCAATTATCGATGAGGCCACGCGGATTGGGCCGTCCTCCAAGCTAGGAATGGCCTCCAAGCGAATAGCAAACTTAAGGAACTACAAGTGGGGCATTTGCCGATGTCAGACAGCAAAACAGCCGATTCAGCAATTACGATTCAGAAATCAAAAAGGACGATTCAACCACTACGATCAGAAACCAGCCTTGGTCCGCTTCAGGAACCAAGGCTGGGCCGATTCAGAAACCGGCCTCGAATCTGACGTCGACCGCCACAGTGCGTGCGGCCTTCGCTAGCGATGGCGGAGCGGTGGAAGACCTCTGTTCACCTGATCATCGCTCGTCACGGCTGTGGCACAAACAGAAGCAGTGGAAAAACCTGGATTAGTTGGAGAAGCCAGCCATTCTGGTGAATAGAGGTCAAGAAACCCGAGCCAGGTTTAATCATGACCAAGTGTGTGTGTGTATATATACACATAGAGACATAGAGAGATATATTTATTTATAACTATCCAAACAGCCCTTCAGCCCTTGGTCCCTCAAAACTTAGGGATTTGAGACACCAGACCCCTCCAATATGAGGGTCCATGAGCGTTTGGGTATTATGTAGTTGTTTGATAGTTATGACCAAGGGTTCAGGTGTTGAGTTTACCCTATTTCAGATCGTGTCATTTTTGCAAGGCCCTTCAAATCGTTCCTGCCATTCAAGATTGAAGACAATCCTACCACTACACTCTGTTTGACCTCAATTGCAGCAATGGTTTCCCCAAACCCAATGCAGCAGATTCACTTCTACACCACCAAACCACTCATACCAAAACGTGAGTGAAAAAAACTCCCTTTCATTTGGCACAAGACTAATTATGGTAATTGTTGGCAATTTGTTTATAAAAGGGCTGCGATCACGTCAGCGACCGCCGCCGCAAAGGAGGATCTTCAGCAATTGTGACTTCAAGTGCTCATACCAAGAACTGTTGCAGAACAGCACTTTGGAACAGGGAGTGGAACTGGAAATTCACCGTAGCAGCTGGGAGATCATCAAGATGTTGTACAACATGAAATTGTGGCACCGCGCTCCAAACACGTTGCTGGGCAGAGACCTTTTGTGTATCGGATACGTTGCTGTCCAAGTCACCGGTTCCTCGGCATTCTTCGCTGTTTCTTCCCCCTTTGGGGTCCGATTCGTTTGGCCTCGGTGAGTGGCCTCCAACCTAATAGGAAACCATATCAGACCGTTCTTCCTTTTCTGTGTTCTTTGTTTCTTTACTAGCGATGGCCTGCACCCTAGTAGCGATGGCCTAAACACCCAGCTGGACTTCATAAGTCATCCACACTGGCCGACTCGTCGGCCTTTCCTGAGGCTGCATCTCTCTTTGGTGCACTTCTCCAACCATTTTGATGCCACGGTGCAGTGTATGCTGATCTTTTACTTGGAGGGCCGTGCGCTTCCTGGTGCGAAGCCGACGTGGCGAAGAGTCCATGAGACGGGATCTGGTCATGGGACCATGCGGCGTACTAGTAGTAACAAGAAGCTATTAGAATTAACTAAATTCTAACAGCTTCTTGTTACTAGTAAGGCACCTGTTACTACTAGTAAGGCGACTTGTTTCTACTAGCTTCGTCCGCGGAGTAGGAGTGGTCCCGTTATGGAGGCCATCGCTCACAGCTTCACCACACCCGGAGGGGCCCACCTCTGCATCCCAGAGTGATCCAGTCCATCTGAGCGAATGGAGATTTTCGAGGCGGTGGCCTTTCTTGCGATGAGAGGAGGTGTGTTCGGCCGCGCAGAGAGCGCGCAGATCTCTGCCGCTGGAAGTTTGGGCACCCAAAAATGAACGAATGTCTAGAAGTTTGGCCATCGACTGACCTCCGAATGGTCCATTGGAGTCCCTCACAAAACATCCCTGAGAGACAGTCCTTGTTTGGAACTTAGGCTTCGTGTCCCACCGGGCAGTGCGAAGATGCAGCAGTTGCTGGTGGCCGCTCGTGCTGCGGGAAGCACGTCCAAGAAGTATCACATGGACCCCGAGATCGTCCAGGGCGCGAGGCCGGGGCTGCCCGGGCTGCGCAACAACATGCAGCAACGAAGAACCCTACGAGCGATGGCCTCCAACCTACTAGGAGGCCACATCTGATTTTGGGCCACCAGATTGGAGGGATTTTGGGGCAGAACGTTTGGGCCCTCACGACAGGCGCCCTGTGAATGACGTCGACATCCTCCCTTTTTCTGGCTTGTTTAGTATATTTAGTTGTCTTGTTTTGTTCAACAAGGCTTCGATCTGCGCATTTGTCCCGAAGAAAAAGGATTCGATCCGTCGCCCGACAGCTCGAAGGGCAGCCTCCGCTGCCCAAAACGTGACAATATGCGGCGCCAGGAGGAGCGTGCACCGATGCGCGTGTGTGCAGTGCGTTGGTTTGCAGCGACCTCCCCCAAAGCTCCACACGAACAGTTCGGCAGAATTCCCCCACTGCCCCGGAATCGCTACCTTGCGGCAGTACAATCCGAAAATCAGGTGCAAAACAACATAAACAACATTGGCTGCTGCATCATGGAAGCACACAGCGAACAACGGAGTCGTCACGCGTCGCCCGCCCACCGAACGCGACTCTTCTCGGCCGGCGACGACGTCGCCACGATCCAGGCAGCATTTGCAGATGCTCATGGCGAAGGAGAGCGCTGTGGTCGGGTGGGGCGGGGCGGCGCGGGTTCCTGCGCGGTCACGACGTGGGGCGCGAGCTGGGCCGTCGGTGGAAGTGCCACGATCGGTGTGAGACTCGGTCTCGCAGGGAAGATCCATGCGGAACAGAGAAGACACTCTCCCAATTGCAGGAAGAATGTCTTGGGTTCGTGGTACATCCCATACAGATCACCAGAAGGTCAAATGATGCTTTTGGTGCAAAGGTTCGGCAGGAACGAAGAAACGAGCATGTTGTTGTCTCATTGTTGAGCCGGACTTGGTGTGGATCCAAGCCAGGTTAACCTCAGTTTTGGAGAAGACAAGCATGTTCTTAAAGTCCTGAGGTGAAATGTAGACTCTTGATCAATAACTCCCCCGATGAAGGGGTTTTGCAATCCATATTAGGGGGTGTTATTAGTCAAGAGTCAGAGTCGACAGTTCCAGTGCTCGTTTCTGGCTTTCGACCGTAGGAGGACTACCGCTTCCTGAGAGATGCAGATCTTCTCTACGATCAGCTCATGTTGGAAAGCCAACCACAGAGAGCGCGCTTAGGCTGTCCAGATTGGAAAAGAAGCGAAGTTGTGATACCCAGAGACCAAAACGTTGGATTTACCTATTTTCTGCTCACTTCGTTTGCGCAGCGGCAAGCCTCCAAGGGGGGTTGCTCTCTTTAATGTTGAGTCTGTCAACCCTTCACCAGCCTTGTTTCCAAGAGGAGCCCGCCCTTGAAATACATCCTGGCATTCAATGAAAAGGCGAAGAAACCAACACAGCTGTTGTGATTATATAAATAAAGAAACATCAATATCAACGAAGAAAATGAAGAAATATATGAAAAAGAGATAACATTCAAATACCGGGGTTTCAGAGTGGCACACACACCCAAATCTCTTCGAAAGATGGGGGGGCCCCCTTTAAAAAAATATAAACAAACACTCCTTTTTGGGGGCAACTGTGCCATTTCCTAACAGAGTAGAAAGAAGAAACGATCACCTCTGAATTGCTTCAGATTCCTGCGCCTGAGGCCGACCGAGCCCCGGTTGCCCAACTTCATGGCGGGGCGACCCAGCCGACCAGCGAACGGCGTGCGGGCGGCCGGGGCGACGGTTTCGGACCATTGACAGATCCCAAATTCTGCAGGAAGGAAACAGTCTGCACCCTAGGGATCCAAGTACCTTCTCAGAAAGTATTTGGACCCTCCAAACCTACATAACAGTGTTTCCAATCACCTTCTGAGAAGGTACTTGGATCCCTAGGGGCAGAAGAAATCCTTTCCAAGTTTCGATGCGAAGATTCGGCAGAAGACGTTTTTTTCCAATCACTGTTTCTCTGTATATAAAATATTTGTAATATATGTTCTTATATTAGAATGAAGTCTTGGGACACGCTTCCAGAGAGTTGTCGACCCTTCCAGCACTCTAGAGTTGTCGACAAACTCAGACTTAGATCCAAAGCATGTCCAAACTCTACTTGATCCTAGTCTTGATCCTCCCTTGGACTTCTCTTTCCAAGTCGGAGAGCACGCTGCGACCGGTCTCCCACGTCTCACCGGACTGTTTCGGCGGAGCGGAGCACGCAGGCGCTGTTTCGGCGGAAGCAGGCGAAGGCGGGTCAACGGGTGTTCGACTTGACGGACCCGGTTTCCAAAGCGACCCGGTTTCACCAACTGGGAGGATGTCGAACTATAGGGTTCAGGTGGATAGTCGAACTGAGTACTCAAACTGAGCCATTCCACCAGTCGAACTGGGAGGATGTCGAACTATATCAACAATCCCGCCGGGTGGACAGACTTGAGACTTTTTGTGAAAAGGAACGGAGAACTGGCGGTCGTTTTTCGTGGGTCGACCCTCACGACCAGACGGCGCATGGCACTCTTCGAACGAGGGTTTAGGGTTTAGGGTTACCGGTTCACCGGACGGAAGAAATTCAGCAAAACTAGTACCTGGATTGAATAATGTGTATTTCTCAGGACGTGAGAAAAATCTATTTGTCCATCCATATGATTTGGGATGTTCTGAACTTACCCTCGAGTGACTAGGATCCTCTTTTGAGTCCTTTTTTGAGTCCGTGTCACTGTTGAGAAGGTCCGAAAGGGAGTGGGTCTGTTTCAGGTTCTGCCTTGGTTGCCCGCTGGTGTGAGCTTCCTTCTCGATACCGGTCAACTCGAGTGGCAGATTGCGGCAAGAATACCCAGAAATTCCGCACAGGTGGGGGACATGAGAGACCTCCACCATCAACCCAAAATTTGCCGATTGCAGATGCTTCCAGCTGCATCGAAAAACCTGTATTCTGGAGGGGTGGGCCTTCCTCAACAGGCGGAAGAATAGCGAACAACTCGAAACCGCCGTTTTCAAAGCGGAGAGAGTTGTCATGGCGAAAACAGCTCCAAGCCAGACTTTCCAAGTAAGTCCAGCCGCCTTTGGAATGGGTGCCCATCGGGTAAGTATGCTAAGACCACCCTGTGAAGACATATTATATCATATAATATCATATAATCATACAAGAAATCCATATAATATCATAGCATCCATATAATTACAGCTAGACCAACAAACAAGAAACATAAGCCCACCCACCCAGCAGATCACACATGATCACACCGTTTGCGACCGGATGTTTGATGGGAAAAAACACTGGGGACATCTCTGTTTTGTTTTGTTTGGAGACCATCGCTACTAGGCTGGAGGCCATCTACTAAGCTGGAGGCCATCGCTACTAAGCTGGAGGCCATCGCCACTGGGGAGGAGGCCTAAGCTGGAGGCCATCGCTAGTAGGTTGGAGGCCATCGCTACTAGGCTGGCGGCCATCGCTACTAGGATGGAGGCCATCGCTACTAAGCTGGAGGCCATCGCTACTAAGCTGGAGG